TTGACTGAGTTATCTTCTCCCTAGCCTCTAGCATTGACTTTTTCAATGCAAAGGCAGCCTACTACATACTTTCTATTGTACTTGAGTGGTTTTTTTTGTTTGTTTATTTTTAAATAATATAGCTGAGAGACACTTTGCTATCTGCAGTTTTGAAGGCCACCAATGACCCTTCTGTCATCAGGTCTGAGAGTACTATGAGTCCTGCTTTTGTTCTACCTAGCCGATGGCCCCTTTCTGCTAGAAGTGTTTCCTTGGACTACACGCTCTCCTGGCTTTGTTTCTTCTCTCTGGCTGGTTCTCCTGCTGCTCCTGACCTCTGAACATTGCCATACCCCTTGGCTCCATCCTTGACCTTTTCTCTGCCTACTCTTTACACCATAGGTGATCTCATCCAGTCTTGTGGTTCCAAGTAACATCTGAACACTCACATAACTCTTCCCGATGTTATCTCTAGCCTGAGTCACAGGCCTGAACTCCAGCCTCTTTCATCAAATTGCCTGCATGCTGTCTCCACTGGATAAACATCTCAAAATGGAACACCTGACTCAAGGCCCTGAACCCGTGCCTCCTTTTGTCTCCCTGTCTTTGTAGCTGGCAACCTCATTCTGTAGTTGCTCAGGCATGATCGGCAACATGCATGATTTCTCTTTTGTTTGCACTCACATGTGCCACTCACAGCAGATGCCACTGGCTCTTTCTTCTGGCTCTTTCTAGAGTCTGACCATGTCCCACCACCTTCCTTGCTACCACCTGGACTGAGCCACCAGCATCGCTGGCCTGGGTCACTGCAATGGCTTCCTTTGGTCTCTCTGTCCTAGTCTTGCTCTCTTAAAAGTGGCTCAACACAGTAGCAAGGTGATTCTGGTAAAAGCAGACCAGGTCCTGTTGTCTCCATAGGATTTCTACTTTATTTTATTTTTTGAGACAGGGTCTTCCTGTAGCCCCAGCTGACCTGGAACTTGCTATGTAGACCAGGCTGGCCTCGAACTCACAGAGATCCACCTGCCTCTGCCTCCCAAGCACTGAGATTAAAGACATGCACCACCACACCAGGCAGGATTCCCATTTAAATTAGAAGAAACCCCCATGGTCCTCTGTGATCTTTCTCCTACCACTCCTCCTCATCTCATTTTATTCCAGCAAGCTGGCCTTCTCACAGGCCCTACCTAACATCAAACCCACACCCAGCCTCAAGGTACTTATTGTTCCTCTACCTCACCCAGCCAAGTATCTGCTTGACGTGCTCATTCACCCTTGTTGAACTTTTGCTCAGATGTCACCTTTCTATGGCCTCTACCCCAGCTCCCTGTTCAAATCCTTAGCAGTGCTCCCTGGTGAGCATCCCCTTTCCCACATGGAGAATGGAAGTGACTTGTCCAAGCTAAGAAGAGCTGGACTAGGTCTCTAAAGCCAGGTTTTTCTTTTCTTTTCTTTTTGGTCTTTTTAAGACAGGGTCTTCCTGTAGCCCCAGCTGTCCTGGAACTCACTATGTAGACCAGGCTGGCCTTGAACTCACGGAGATCCGCCTGCCTCTGCCTCCTGAGTGCTGGGATTAAAGGCATGCGCCACCACGCCCGGCCACTTTTCCTTATTTTAAACAATATTTATTATTTTTATTTTATGTAGGAGTGTATTGCATGCATGTATGTAAGTGAACCTATATCATGCATGCCTGAGGAGGTCAGAAGAGAGCTTCAGATTCCCCTGGAACTGGAGTTACAGACGGCTGTCAGCTGCCATGTAGATGATTGGAATCGATCCTAGGTTCTCTGCAAGAGCAGTCAATGCTCTTAACCACTGAGCCATCTCTCCAGCTTGCAAGTCAGGTTTTCCTAAAGCTTCTGACTGAGGGATACCATCACCCTTACCCTGCCCACACTGTACTTTCAGAGCACAGCACGTTTGAGACAGTATAGTCACCAGGCTTTTGTATCCTGAGGTGCTTTTGTGGAGCAGGACTTATACCTATGTTAGAATGGAGGACCATTAGGGGCCAGCAGAGTCACAGGGACAAGTGAGTGGACAGTCCTGTTCACCTTGAAATTTCTAGTGGGGACAAACCTCTCCCAGTTGCAAGTCAGGAAACTAGAAGGAAGAAGGGTTAGGGGGGTTGTGACCAGGGAAAGAAAGCAGGCCCTGAGGCAGGGCCTTCAGCAAAGGCTTTCTCTGAGCCTGGGGACTTCTAGGACCTTGTACACTTGACCCCAGGGCAAGCTTTCAGTTAGCACCTCCAGATGTGGCATCTGCTGCTCACTTCACAGATGACAGTAACAAAGGAACTTCATCCAGCTGTCATTAGGAGGCACAACTTTGTCTCCAGTGTCCTTCCCCAGTCCCCCTGGTCATCCTTCCTATCTCCCTACTCATCTGATTGTCCCCACTAGGTCTGCTGTTCTTGCCTTTTCACCCTCTGAACCTCTGCACTCCTCATCTAGAAAACTTCTCCCAACCCTGAACTCCTTCCTACTCATCTTTCAGGATCCAATGTCACAGCCTCCAGCCATTCAGCAAAGCAGGACAGACTGCCCAGTTCCTTGTTTTTCATATGGCTCTCATCACATGCTTCAGGAGTCAATGGCTTATGTACCTCAGGCTTATTCATTTCTGGTCTCCAAGGCCAGCAGGATCCTGCCACACCCTGGGCTCCCTGTGTCTGCTGAAGGAGGGAAGAAACGCCCAACAAGCATCCTGAATCATTCAGACTCAGGGCTCCCTTCTAAGAAACTTACAGCCTCTGCCAGTGTGCGGGAATTTCTACTACTGACCAACAGTGAAACACTTATTACTGCCTGTTTGCTCTCTAACCTTCTCCCTTTTTACCCTTTTAGACTTCCTGTCCCAATTTCTTCCTGTAGTCCTGGGTTGGCCTTGCCATGATGTCCCTCCAAAAGCAACCTTCCTAAGGTACAGAACTGAATCTTGAAGCTGCCACCCCCTGCCTTCTAGCTTCCCTTGGGCAAGGATGCCAAGGCCCTGCCTTCCAGGACCATCTGAACACACTGCCTCTAACCGTCTCTCATCCTTTTTCTCCAATTAAAGAAAAACTAAAGGCACTAGACTTTATTTAAAGAAGCAGATTACTGGAGCTGGAAAGATGGCTCAGCAGTTAAGAGCACTGGCTGCTCTTTCAGAGGACCTGGGTTCAATTCCCAGTACCCACATGGCGGCTAACAACCCCAAACTGCCCTCCCCCCATTTCCAGTTCCAGGGGAATCCATCACCCTCTTCTAACCTCTGGGGGCACTGCACAACATGGGTGCACTTACACATATGCAAGCAATACATTCATACACATAAAATAACACTAAATAAAATATTTTGAAAAAAAGCAGCAGATTGCTATACCCAGGCTTTGCAGCAGGGAGTAAATAAACTCCACATTCAGGCTACAAGGAAAGATGAGAATTCACTACCAAGGAGCAGAGTGAGGCATCTGTGGGTGGAGAATTACTGAGTGGAAACATCAGGGCTCCTGGGATTCCAGATCAATTCACTTGACAGGATTCCTTTAAAATTTTATTGTACATTTATTTATTTGTGTGTGAGCACACATATGGAGCTCAGAGGACAATGTGGGAATAGGCTCTCTCCTTCCACCATGTGAGTCCTGGAGATTGAACTCAGGTTATCGGTGTTGGTGACAAGTGCCTTTATCCTCTCAGACATCTTGCCGGCCCCACTCGACAGGATCCTTACTGTAGGCAGGTCACAGTGATCTGACACTAAGGGTGGCAAACTTTTCTGATTCAGGGAGGAGTCTTGCTAAAACTGAGCCAAGTGGGCCAAGGACAGAGCCCAAGGTTTTGGGCCTAGGCCCAAAGAAGACTCAGCCTGACTCAAGTCTGGCTCAGGAGTGGCTCAACCATCTACTAACACTTCAGTGCTTTCATTTCTCCCTCCTCCATCCAAACTCTTCCTCTTCTCAGATCGTCAACGTTGCTCTTATTTCCAAGGCCAGCTTAAATGTCTCGCCTGAAATTTAGAGCTTCCTATGGAAACCCATTTTTCCTTGGTTTCCTATGCCTGGAGCGCTCTGAGAGCAGGAAAGCAAGGTACTGCCCCATGGACCTGAGCAGGGCAGGTGGCTCAGAGAATCCAGGCACTGCGCCCCTGCACCTGGAAAAGAAAAGGGTCTCCCAAGGATGCTCTGAGCAGCCTTGCTGCTTCAAGCCCAGGTGCTTTCCCTCCCTCCGTTGAGGGGGACCACAGAGCATGAGCTGGTGGTTAACAGGCCTGGCTTGGGCCTAGGGCAGCAGTCTGCACCGGTGAGAGATGCTATGCAACAGGACATCTCAGGCCCCTGGCTGCAGTGGTAACGAATTGCCTCGGGGGCGATCCCGCTGGGGCACAACGCGCCCACGCTGCGACTCCCTCACCCCGCCTCTTCTGCAAGTCAAACCCTTTTCAAGTCGGCCTCGCACTCTCCACCCGCGCCATAAACAAGCACCCCACGACTAC